ATTTAAATTTAATTATAATTTTTCATATAAACTTTTATAATTTAATTAAAAAATAGATATTTTTCACAAAAAAAAATGGATGAAAGAAGAAAAAAAAAGTTTCAATAATCTAATTTAATTTTTCATAGAAAATAGAAATAAATAATAAGAGAGAGAGAGAGAGAGAGAGAGAGAGAGATAAATGAAATATAATCAATTAAAAAAAAATTTTAATCATACATGTCCATAGAATGTTAAAGGAAAGAAAATTTGACTTTTTTATTTTTTTTTATGAAAGTCTCCCAAAATCTCGTAATTAATGAGAGACAACTTTTAAAATTTTATATGAGTACTTTCTGCTTAAAAGTTAGTACTCCAAAGACTTTTATAAAACTCTTTAGAAGTCATTAGAATTTGAATACCCTAAAACTTATTGAGACTTTTAAAAAGTTTTAATTGAATATACCGTAACTTTTAAAAAAAATTTAAAAATCTTTAAAAGTCTCAATTGAATATATCGTGACTTTTAGAGAGTTTCAAAAAGTCTCAATTGAATACCCCTAAACTTTTTAAATCTCAAAAAGTCATTAAAAGTTTCAATTGAATACACCCCCCTTAATCATTAAAAAGTCGGGTTGATTGCGATTTAAGGAACTAACCCATCAATTAACCGACCAACTTGTTAATACATTTTTTTAATTTCATATTTTAAACTTAAAAAGTAAAATAATAAAAACACAATTATAGTTCTTTCTCAAATAATTTGTTTACTGTTTACGTTTCTTTTACCAAAGCTCCAAATTCCTAAAGAAAAGGAAAAGCAATGAGAAAAATTGTTTGTTGTAAACTTCAAATTGATATTGTAGCTTTACTTTTCATTTTCGCGTAATTGTTTGTTGGTGTATATATATAACAAGCAATTTTTTTAACCCAAAATAGGTTAGGTGATTTTTTTATAAATCAGACTAATGTTCAAACCAACTAAACTGATTTGATTGGTTAGATTTCAACAGTTGAATTGGATCGAGTTGGGTTGATATTTACCCAAGCCAACCAAGTTGGATTCAATTTTTGTTTAGACTTAAAAATCAACCCAACTCGAATCATGTCTAGACCTACTGAACAACACTTCATACAAGGTAATACAAATCATTTTTTAGATAAAATAGAAGAAAAAATGTCATATTACTTAATATTTAGCATAAAGTAAGATAAGGTCACAAGTGATTCATAAAGTGAATTTGTGGGGTGGACACTTATAAAGTGTGATCATAAGAATATCTTCAAGAAACTATTTTAAATAAAAATACTCTGTATTATAAAGAATTATTGCTTAAAAAAAAGGCCCAAAAAATTTTTATTTAACTTTTTAAAAATAAAGAGTGCGTTGGACTCTTCAATTTTAAAGAGCCAAACTATTATAAATTCTTAATGTACAATGATTGTATTTGAAAATTCACAAATTTTAATTCTCTACTTCTTAAACTATTCAAAGTACATTTAGCACTTGTTTGAACCTCATTTTATGTTAAAAAGCTTTGTAATAGTGATATTTTAGAGAATGCATGGTTAAAAGATAGATAAAAATTTTGAATTTACGTGCAAAATATTTTATTTAAAAAATGTTGTTGAAAATGAATTTAGAGAAAAATAAGTTTTTGAATAATGAGGTTCAAACAATGGCTTAAACTGATTGGTCATTGACATATAAAAATGAATAATTGCACATACAGTTCCAATTTTTTCATTTTTTCGTGAACTTTGTTTGAATCTTTTATTTGTGCCACTCATAATCCTAAATCTTTAATTTACTCACCTCCATTTTAATGTGATTTTCGAAGAAAATGTATTTTATAATAATAATTTTTTAAAGGATGTGGTAAAAGATAAGGATTTTTTTTTTTTTTGAATTTATGTGTAATAATATCTTATGGAAGAATGTGTACTTAAAAATAAGTTTTGAGAAAATGTATTTTGAAAATAACGGAGCCAAAACAGGGACTAAATAATTAAATAACCCTCCCCCCGAAGTACAAACCTTGTTTGGGCTCCATTTTAATTTGATTTTTGGGGAAAATGTGTTTTGGAATAATAATTTTATAAAGAATGTGTGGTTAAAAGATAATGAATTTCTTTTGAGTTTATGTGTAATAATATTTTATGAAATAATGTGTACTTAAAAATGAGTTTTGAGAAAATGCATTTTCAAAATAATGGAGTCAAAATAGGGACTAAATAATTAAATTAACCTCTCTGGACCGCTGGAAGACGACAAAAATACAAATCAGCACCTGTACAGAATGTCTGTTTTTCAAGTGTAGAATAATTCTTAGGACTAAGCTACATGACCCGCACTTGATGACTGCGAGGATGACTGCATACACTCATACATGGAGTTGGTATTTTTTTAATCACTTGGGACCAATCTCGGCATGTGAGGGTACGATCATCTATTGAGTCAACCATGAGTTCGTTTGGCATTTTCCTAATTCTTATTTCTTAATTCAACGCGTTGACCTCCACTAACGTCATGCGCTGTCGCTTCATTTTTGAGTTATGCTTCAGAACTCGGGATAAAATCCCGGGTTCCGTTCCAGGGTCGAGTACTGGATCTTCACACATGCGGGCCCACCGCTTTTACATCGGGGGGCGAGGTGCTGCCACCTCGGCCCCTGGACGGAATCCTGGGCACACCTCGCCCCTGGACGGAATCCCGGGATCTTTAGCATTTTTCTTCATTTTTTTATCCGGCGCATGAAAATAATTACCCTACTGTATAAACGAAATTGGCTATGGTGAATATTTGGTAGATTAAGATAGACATCAGTTGACACTCGTTGATTAACTCTCACCTAATTTAAACCAACTGAACCAAAATTCATCCACCTCTATCGCGCGCTGGCGATCGCCACCCACCCACCTCCCCCACCAGCGCCAATGCAAATTAGGCATTTCGGTCAAGCATTAATCAATCAAATGTTTCAAAACTACGTAGGCCAGATTAGAGATTCGGACATTGACAAATGACAGCCGACCAGAGATCTTAAAACGCGGTATCCCAAGAGCAGATCTGTGGCAGTCAAGATTGAAGATATAGGCATAACGCCATTCCCACAAAAAATTAAGTTATTAAAAGAACAAAGAAAACTCTTAACTTATAAGAAGTATTTTGCTGAACGAAATCAATTTTTTTTAATAACAATAAAGGATTTTCTTAACAAATTGAGTAGCAAATGTTAAAAGGGAATTGATGTGTTTTCTAAATTTTCCGTGCAACTTCTGGATAACAATATGGATTTCCAGCTGAAATGGTCCGCCGAATGGACTATCTTGACCAAAGAGGAGAGAGAGAGATTAGGGATATGACGCATGCAAAGAACATGCTGTCAAGTTTCCGTATGACGTCTAAGCAAGTTTCTGGTAACTGGTAAGGTCCATTTCTTGCCGCAAATTTGCGGTGGCTCTTGTGGCGGTCACTGCAGCGCCCTGTGCGTGGCTGGGTTGCGATCTTCTGGAGGTGGGTGAATTTTGGCTCGTTTGGTTGGGGTTAGATGAGGAAAGGTTTGGGTGGGTATGGGGTGGGAAGAAGAAGATGAACTGTTTTATCTGTTTTGTTTTATATTTTTTTGTTTTATTTAATATGAAATATCTAAAGTTTGCATTCTCGATTGTACTACATATATATCATTACTTATAGACTGATCTACAAATATATGATGTAATGAAATATGATAGAATTAAAATCTTTTCAACTAAAATAAAAAAAAGCGAGAGAAAACATTCTCACCTTTTGACGCCTCGTCAATCTATAAAACTTTCTATAATTGCTTAAATATGAGTAACATTATTTTATAAAATAATGCTACTTATACATAAGAAATTATATAATGATTTACATACATACGATGTGTTAAAAAGAAAGTGAGAATTTTTTTTTTTTTTGGTTGGTTAAAGAAATTTTGACATAATCATATCTCATCACATCGTATGTATGTAAACTATTATGTAAATTATTATGCATAACACAACCGTATATTATGATACTCATTTTAAAGTTGATCAAATTGGTTAGAGTCAAGTTTTTTTATCAACTAAATTTGACGGATTATGTGAGTTTATGCTTGTGTTGCGAATAAACTAAAAGTTTGAGTTTGTAGTTGGCACAAATGAAATGTTCAAGTTGAGTTTGCGAAAAATTGAAAAGTTTGGGACCACGTTGCAATTATCCCTATAAAAATATATGTTAAATAATATATGAGGAGAAAAAGGTAAAATGAAAAGTCAAAATTATTGGAGTGTAAAATTTTTTTGACTCCCTAACCTTAAATAGGCTCTTTATAATGCATAAGATCTTACAAACTTCATATCATTCTTTGCATGCTATTTTTGACTAAATTATTGGATTAGAGTGAATATATATATATGATCATGTTTGAGCCACATTAATATAAAAATGAGAATGAAAAATATAATCATTACGAACTCTACACAAGAGATTGATTTTTCAAATATGATGACTTGATGTGATAAATAATAGTCACATTTTTCATTTTAATGAGTAAATAATGAAAAACAAACAGGCCATATATATATTCTTTCAATAGCCCAAAGTTTCGGTTCAATTCCTAATTTATTCTTTATAAAACCGTGCCAGAAGCTTTGATGCCCAGTCCAAGAGGTTCAATTTCCTCCTAATATTGTTTGTTGAAAAAATAAAGAAAAATACTTATTATACATTATCATTTATATAATTTTTTTGGTTTAAGCTTCTTGGACAGGGAATTGGGACAGGGAATCAGCTACCCCTCCAATAGGGGGGCGCCACATGCCCCCTGTCCCAATTCCCAATCCCCCTAGCATATCTCAATTTTTTTCAGATTGATGAGGTGTTAAAAAAAATTTCTTTTATTATTTAATTGATGAGATTCTGATTCAATCAAATATTATCACATTATTTGTTGATAAATAAATCCGTAAAAGTTGTGAATGAGAAAGGTAAAAGTGTCGTCATTTAGATGACATGTTTTCGATAGTTGCTCTTGGTGACGTATAAAACTGCCATAGCCGCTGCAATTCAAGTTAGCTTTGCACTTCATCTTTTTCTCTGAAACCTTATTTGTTCGTATTTATCCGATTCTTGCAATTCCATCCCTGGCTTCTGTTCAAATGGATCCTCCATCATCGAATCAGAAATCACAAGCCCAGGTAAAAAAATGTCTTTTTCACCATTTTTTGTTCCCATTTTGTTTATGTTTGTTCATCAAAATAGTAAAGCTTTATTGGTTGTTTTCCTTGATTTTGATTCGCAGAACTGTACAGGTTTGCGGGAATTAGTGGTAAGTTCTTGTGATTAAATTACAGGTTTGCGTTCTATATGAACATTAATACATTCTTCTGCATTAGTGCCATATGCTCCTTCTTTTCTTCTTCTTCTTCCAATTTTTTCATTTTCTCAGTCGGGGAAAGGGACGAGATGGGCACAGAGGGGCTCGAGTGAAGTTTATTGTGATCTATTTAAACGGGAATTGCTAGCTTGTTAATCAATTTGTGTCATTAGAGATTTAAACCATGAATCAGATATCTTACTTCTTTGTGTCATTGTCATGACAGACGGAATTTATGGTAGACATGAAGGGTGAGGGCTGTGTTAGTTCAGTCAAAAATAAATTACAGACACTTGATGGTAAGAGTGTGAAAAAACTACTTACTTTCTTGTTTCTTTCTATCTTCCATCAACTATAAATATCTGTTTGTCTTCACTTTTTAGGTGTTAAAAAAGTGGATGTGGACTTGAGCAATCAAGTTGTGAGGGTTCTTGGAACTTCACCGGTGAAGATTTTGGCCGAAGCATTGGAGCAGACAGGTCGAAAAGCTCGGTTAATCGGACAAGGGGTGCCTGAAGGTAGGCTAGAATTCTGTGTTTCAGCTGTCTACTTGTCTTAATCTCAATGAGTGTGAACGATTTTTCAGTAGTTCTAAGATCTTCCTTCTCTTGAATTTTCACCTTTGTGAACATGTTCATAAGTTAGGACAAGACGAATGCAGCGGAAAAAAATTACTTATTCGAAAGTAACTCTTAAGTATTACTTTACTGTCAAAATAAATTACTTATTTATATTGAAATTTTACCACCAAAAAATTCTATTTATTTTAAAAACATACTCGTTTATTTCTATGTAAACTTTTTAAGGTAGGCAATGCTCAAAGATGAATAAGTGGACACAATAAAATGGTTGACATAAGAAACTCAAATGTACAGCGAGCGGAAATGGCACCGATCAGTAAAATAAATCAAGGGAATCATTGCTTAGGTTAATAGGACATGTTCAACATAAACCTGAAGAGCTGTCTGTCTGTAGAAAGTGATGCAATTTCAGTAGAACACTTAGAACTTGTGCTTGCTAATGATTTAGTTGTAAAATTTCAAGTAGATTTACAAATGAAATGAACAGAGACGAAAATGGATTAGGTTTATCAGAAGAGGCTTAGTTTTCTGCTGCTGGTGTTGTGAGCTTGTTCATAACGTTTGAAAGAACAAAATTCTGTTACACAGAGGTCTGATGTTCTTACTTGTGCCATTTTATTATGGTCTTCTCCAATAGATGCTTCATTATATTGAACTTGTGTGTATTTTAGTCAGCATTCAATTTTATAATTAAAGAGTATTTACGGTTGCCACATGTCTACAGATTTTCTTACTTCAGCTGCTGTTGCTGAATTCAAAGGTCCTTCTATCTTCGGAATAGTTCGGTTAGCTCTAGTGAATATGGAATTGGCTAGAATTGAAGCGGATTTCAGTGGTTTGCCATCTGGAAAACATGGCTGGTCCATCAATGAGTTCGGGGATTTGACGCGGGGTGCAGCAAGTACTGGGAAAGTGTTCAACCCGATAAATGATGCAAAAGAGGTTCTTATAGTCACATGCACAATACCTTCATTCCCCCGTTCTCCTTCCTTTCCCATTTTCCATTTTTACGGCACGATTGGCGGTGCTTTTAAAAAGCAAAAATTGCTTTTGGGACAAAGAAGCTACTTTTGATCTGTTTAGAAACTTTTCTGATAGTATTTTGTTTAGTTAGAGTAGTTTTTAAAAGAAGTTAAACCAAGCGAAACTTTTTCAAAAAGCATTCTACAAGAAGCAGAAACAGAAGCAGAAGCTATCCCAAATAAACCTTAAGAGAAAAAAAATAGAATTTTTTTTAAGGTTTAACTATATTGATGCTCTGCCTACTCTCGTAAATCATTTTTTATTCTTACATAATACACTCCATCAACCTCTTATCTTTTGCAAATTTATTGAGAAGACAACTCAGTTAATTTTTTTGTTGTTGCTCTTATGATTCGGATATTGTGTGCATCTGCTAATCTAAATCTTGGATTCTCAGCCGGTTGGTGACTTGGGGACACTGGACGTTGATGAGAAAGGTGAGGCTTTCTTTTCCGGCGTGAAAGAAAAACTGAGAGTTACTGATCTCATCGGACGATCCATAACAGTGTATGGCACCGAGGATAAATCAGATGAAGGTCTTGCTGCTGCAGTGATAGCTAGAAGTGTTGGAGTTGGTAATAACTGCAGAAAGCTTTGCTCATGTGATGGTACCACCATTTGGGAAGCAACCAATGCAGATTCTGTGTGCAGCAAAGTTTAATCCCATCGTGTAGATTTATGATGTGCTCATTCAAATATTTACATAATCTTTACACATTGTTTCTTGATAAACATTACAGTGGAGTGTGTATTTATGATGTCTATTGTTCCATTTGAATCATTCTTCTTGGAAATTCAATGTCTAATCCTCTCATTCTATGCCGTTGTATAGAATGTGTTTAGAATGCAGTATTACATAAAATTCAACAGTTAATTTATTTTTTTCCTTAATATTGTTCAACGATTCACCTTCTCAATCGATCATGGAAACCAGCAATTGCAACAGCCACAAAAGCAACGGAAATACACCGCAAAATTTTATAGTTTTGGATTCAAATAGAGTCGAGCGATTGAGAATGAAAAAGAAAAAGCAAGATCATTGAACTTGATGCTAAGGGCTCGTGCACTGCCAAAACAGTGGGATTTTTTGGCATACAAATTCTCTAATACAGATCGAAAACATGACATCGATCATGTGATTACCTTTTTTCTTTTCGTAAAATTGAAGCAAAATAAAAGGCACATACAAAATTCAGAGACAAATAAGGAGTAAATCCAGTGCATTTTGGACAAAGTGAAGTATAGATTAAATTCTTCCATCGCCAATACTTCCCCGAAACATAATTTCAATGGAAGCTGTCGCACATCATTCGTGGTAAGACAAAACTAGCTTTCTATGTAGTGAGAAAATATAACCGGGAAACAGAATAATGTAAAGACGATAGCATATTAATCTTACAGAGGGAGGAGTCCATCTCTCTTGGCCATTTCATAAAGAGCAATAGCCATCAGTGCTTTTGCATCGGCTGTCATACGCCAGAGATTTTCGTAGGGAACTACATGAACCTTGATAAACTCACCGCGTTCTCGAAGACCTGTTTGTTTTCCTTGTAGCTGTTGGATGATACCTTTATCGACTTCATTTCTGTACAGAAACAAACTAATATCCTCATCGCACCCACCCTATTATCAGAAGAAAGAGAAATTCTTTAGCATCAAAATAAAGAGAACCAAGTAACCAAAACTTGAATTGACTAAATAATTATACTGGTGAAAATCTTCCGTTTACTAAGCGCATGCTTCGGCTAAGCTTAAAAGGTTAGCTTACAAGTAGAGATAGGTAACTTTTAATATAAATAATTTGTTTATAAATTGATGATAAGGAAAAAGTTATTTTCAAAAAACATAACTTGTTTGACTGGAAATGTTTTGAAACAGAAAGTAGTTAAAAAGAACCTTATACTTGCCTTTAAGCTTAGCCAAACAATAAATAGCATAAATTTTACTCGTGAATGTTCTGAAATGCAAACAGATTTGCACTTTATCTAAACATGTTTCCCCCTCTAACTGAACTTAGTATCAATTCAGTATTGCAAGTACTCAGTAGCTAAAAAAAAGCTAATTCTTGTCTTGGACCAGAAGTCCAAGATTGAATGCTAAGCCAGATCGCTAATTTTGATAAAATAGTTGTACTGCTTAAATGAAAATTTTAAAATCAAATCCAGAATTAGAAAACCCAACTTAAAATAAAAATGAAAGAGAAACAGGACACCATTCTAATGAAAATGCCAGGCCAGCAATTCATATTGTCAAATATGAAATCTTTTGTTAATCTTTTCACATTTTATAGAACTCCATTAGCATATCCACAGGCCACAGTGCAGTACTTAAGTTTAGTGCTTAGGATAATTTAGCCAGTTGCTGTGATTCTCTTCTCCATATCTATGAAACCATGTTTGATGTCTTGCATAGATGCATTACTTCTGTACATATCTTATTCTATAATCGATTGTTTAATTTCAAAACTAACTTTTAAAAATAAGAGAAATAAGTTCAACAATATTATAGGAGCTCATAAAAACAGTTGGTGACTTACCGGAGAAGGAAAAACTTTGCATCCAGTTGATGGGTCCAGAAAGGCAGTAAGGTCAATCACATCATCTAGATTCAAGTGTATGCCAGTCTCCTCTTCAACCTGTTAAAAATCGGATCAAAGAATGAACTTCGAAGCTACAAAAAGTTTGACATTCTTCAAACAAAGGTGCCTAAACAATGGTGCATGTAAGGAAGAAATGATTGGATAAAAAAATCTAAAAGATAACAATGAAAAATATCACCAAAACAGCAAGCCAGACGTACGATTTAAAATGCCAGGAGGGGAATTCTGAAAAAGTATTAGAAATAGAATAAATGGACCAAGCATGTCTTTGATATAGTATATGGTTTAAACTCTTACAAACTCTTTAAGATCAGTATCCAATGATATACTTGGACCAATAATTATGCTCATTCACTGAACTTATCCACCCAATGACAGTCCAGGATGTGCATCTAACTCGCCACAGTTTAAGTTCTTTTCAGTGATGAGTATCGACATAAAAAGCCCTTAACTGGCCACATGACAATTATTGCCTACAAGGCTACAAGCAGCAAGAATATTTTTTTTGATGAAAGAAAAGTATCTGTGGTGATTTTGAAGTTCTTTCCTTGAGTTCAGCTGTTTTCTATCAGGGTGAATTTTATTTCACCAAATTTTTAAGACAATTGCAGCTAACAGCAATGAGGCCAAATCAAGGATCAAATAGTACTGAAACATAGACGGAATGGGAATCATTCCTGATGACAGAAGAACTGGTTAACAAAGAAACATTTCAAGAAATAAGGGGTGGCGCCTAAGTGAGAAAGGAGGGAGAGAGAGACCTCTTGAACGGCTGTTCCAACTATATCACCCTTGTCATTGTCCAACATTCCAGCTGGCAATTCCAAAATAAGCTTCCCAACAGGAATCCTAACCTTCCACATTCAAGTAAGTCCGTTAAAGTTGTAATGATGTAGGAATCTTAATTAATTTCGAAATAATCATAGTAATTAAAATAGGCATTTTACTGAACATTACAGTCCTAGGACAGTTCATTAAGTACATTGCAATATATAGGAAAAATATACCTGTTCTGTGAGAACAGCATAGGTCTCTCCATTAGAGTCCAAAAGGATTAGCACCGCAACAGCTGGTCCTCGAGCAAAAACAATACCTGGAACCTTTGCATGTCTTAAACACATTAGATCTATGAACTTTTGGATAAGCTTTAAAATAAGTAAAAATATTACTTTTAAATAAATCTTTGTTTGCAAAACATATTTGGATATTCTTTTTTGTCCTATTTAAAGTAACAAAAAAAGTTACTTATTTTGAAAAGTGAGTCCTACTTTGTTGTCAAAACAAGTATCTTATTTCAATTTTGATCAACAGAATGAGCATAGCCAAACATGATCTCCCGTAAACAGACAAATCATTTCTAAAACTACCATAGCGTGCCAAAACAAGAATGCCAAACTACAAGGTAAAACCATCATTCATGCGACTTTCTCTATTATCTTTTAATCTTTTTGGAGTAGCTCCAGAAATTCCCCGTAAATGGACAAATCATTTCAAAAACTACCATAGCATGCCAAAACAAGAATGCCAAACTAAACTACAACGTAAAACCATCATTCACGCGACTTCCTCTATTATCTTCTAATCCCTTTTGGAGTAGCATGCTCCATAAATTCAAGGCGGGAAAATATCCACAAAAATTATTAACAGATGCAAGACCAGTAGCAGGTTTCACAAATAAAACACTATGCTTCACCTTGGCTGTCCTCGTTGTCACGGTTCGGTATCCATATAGAACCATGGAATTGAGATAAAACATTCAATGGAAAGGAATATGACTCAAGGAATGAAGTGGCAAAGCAGAAAATAATTATTTTCGTACTGGTTACCTTCAATTAATAAAGTACAAAACAACCAAAATGCAGGGATATGAGGTACCTTTTGCCCTGTTTCCTTATCGACCACATCTGCTTTGAATTTGAGAAACCCAACACGCTTGCCAAACATATCTACACCCTGTTCAGCAAAATGAAAACTAGTCAACATGACACATGCACAAGGAATGAGAAGTCGCACCAATACATCACCTGCCATATCAACACTGAGCTCCAATTGCCAGACACAATACTAAACTTATTAAAATAATAAATCTTTTGATCAATGTCCAAATATTTCCTGTTGTTTACTCCTGAATACAAGTAACATATCCTTTGACTTACATTTACTCAGTTCTCTAGATCTATACTTTACAGTTCTTATTAATGAAATTCCGATCCTCTTCAAAAACAAAATATTAATAAAATGGTCCGTTAATCTTTGGCACCAATTTAAAACCTTAAAGTTCGCTGGATTATAAAAATTACAAATAATTGCTCCAATCTGAAAAATTAATTGGAAATTTGCAAAAGCAACCTGAATAAGTACTTGGCTTAAAGACATGGCTCCATTAGCCAGCATGCCTGTTTCTGTTTGTATGTTCTTCAACCATTGTTTAAACAACGAGGATTCGATGGCATTTCTGCAACAGCAGTAAATTCAATTTACCCAAACCAAAGCCAAATATAAAATCTAGTAAGAACAGGCTTAGTTTATAATGTTACACACTACTCATAAAACTTCACACATTGAAAAAGCACATACATGCTTTAATGATCCCATCCACTTAACAGTCACGAACTACGTGTCCACTTCATAAATAGTTGAGGCTATTTGGTAGAAAAGAACTAGGTTGCCGTATCCAGTCATAAAATTTGTTATAACATATATATATTTTGATGATCATGAATGTCCGGGCGAGCTTACGCGCATCCCAACTAATCCCACGGGACCCTGAAGTTTATAGTTGGGTACACATCTCAGTCGCTTTGAGAGACTCGAACTGATGACCATTGGGGAGCAAGCCCAAGGCCTCATATTTGTTATAATATATAAAACGAGTAAACCACTAAATCTGGCCACAACAGAGCTAATTTAGTAATAAACCGTCAACAGGGAACCTCATAAACCAGTTTTTTGTTTCCGCCGCACAAAGATTCCATGCTGCAGCGTCGTGTCAACAATTAACAATCTTCAGTGAGTATCTACACCACATTGTTAACTACATTGTTTGCCTGAAATAAATTCGATATTGCAAAACCCAAAATATTTGATTAATTTTTAGCAATAAAAGGGGAAACAAAAGCCTAGTCTTGAAATGGTTTCTCCAGCCATCTAAAGATAAGCTCGACATTTTCAAAGATGACCAATTTTGTCTACTCACACAAGCTTTTAGCATCCAAAAATTGAGTGTCAGCATTAACTCCACTTGCATAATATGTGGTATAAAATAACAAATGCAAAATACACGTGAGCAAAAGAGGTCAACGGCGCACCTGAAATCGGAGCCGGACACACCAGCCGCGGCGACGATGGCGACTGGTTGGTCGGGTTGACGCGGGAGGTGGATGGTATGGGTGAGTGTGGATGACTCGGTAGCCATTTTTGTAGACGAAGCTCGAATTGTTCCAATGGGAATAATAGAGCCAAGGGGGGATTTTGTGAGCCGATTTGTGAATTTGAGACGGGGACAGAGCCTGGAAATTGGAAGAAGATACGTCATCGTTTATGAATCCAGTGAAATTTCTAGGGTTGATAAAATAAAAGGGTTTTTCTCCGTGTACTTGTAAGTTTGACTTTTCAAATCAACCATTTTCCATTTTAATCAAAAAAAATTCAACATTTACCACAATGGTCATTTCTTGTGTAAAAGACAAAAACGTTCTTAAATGAGTTATATAATTACAAAAATAGAAATATGGTAAAAAGACAAAAATATCCTTAAGTTACAAATAAAAATCCAAACACTTCTCAATTGAAATTTAAAAACGAAGTCAGTCTTTCATCAGTTTACTCTAACACGATAAAAACTCTTTTATTTTTCATCCACTTCAACCTCAAAATTTCATAAACTTATCAGTTATCAACCTCAACAGAAAAATTTCGTTAAATTTCAGCACTTCAATTCGGTAAGTATCTTTTCCTTGTATTTAATTTTATTTTTATTGAAGTCGTATATTTTTTTAAATGGTAGAAAAAATAATATTAGAGCCAAAGTTCAGGCCGGCACCGATCTGACACCGGAACTGGTCCGTAAAGGTCCGGACCGTCCGTTTGCAGACTCCCCCGCCCCTCGATTCTGATAATTTTATTTCTGATAATTTGTTCTGATATTTTTAATTCGTAATGCAGATATCGCAAAAGCATGTGTCCCAATCTGTTATTTCGACGAATTTCAAAGGAAAGAAAATGGTCAATGGGAATGAAAATGGACGAGTGAAGGAGAAGGGTTTGCTACTATTTCGATAACAAAAAATACTTCGTTTACAGAAATGTACAGTGAAATACAAAACATGCTTAACGTCGATTCCTCTCAGTACGATATGGAATTGGAATTTTTATTTCAAAAGCATTCAACAATTTCGATTCCACCTTTGAAAGTTACTTCTGAAGCGCAAATAAAGCATCTAATTCAATTGAACCAAGGTCGAAAGACGACTCCTATTTGCGTAAGTTTGTTGAAGAAAAATGTCATCGAGGGTGAACACGATGTTTTTTATGGAGAGGATCGTAATAAGAATGATTTTTGGGATACTGTTGAGATTGCTCGGGAGGATGATGTGGTTATTCCTGGGGCAGTTGCTACTCACCATGATGTCACCGTTAAACGAAGGATTTACGAGGAAGTTCAAAACAACGAGGATGAAAGGCCATTTACAAATCAGGATTTGATTGCTTTATCCAGACAGAGACATGAGTCTGGTGGGAGCTCACATGCTGGGCCGAGTACACGGTCTTCTAATTGTTCGCGTGTAGTTCCTGATGATGAAGATTTACATGTCGATCAATTGTTTGACACGAAAAGAGATTTGCAAGAAGCCGTGCACCGAATTGCAATGAAACATAATTTTGAGTTTAAGGTAAAAAAATCAAACAAGTCTACATACACAATTATTTGTGTGGACAACAATTTCAGTTGGCGTTTAAGTGCGACAAAGATGGACACAAATGAGTTCTTTGTTGTTCGTAATTATGCGCAGGAATATACTTGTGAAGTGGGTATTCGTTAAAATGATCACAGGCAAACTCGATCATGGTTTATTGGTCGACAGATAATGCACAAGTTTCAGGATCCACGGACGATTTACTGACCTACAGATATCATCAACGACATCCGTCGAGAGTATGGGGGTGGTTATGAGTTACCAGAAGGCCTGGAAGGCTAAAGAATGTGCATTGGAAGATTTAATGGGTTCGACAGAGGAGAGTTATGCCAAATTGGCCAGGTATTGCCACAACATGGTAAGAACTAATTTTGACTCGACGTTTTTTATTGAAACCGATGGGCAGAATCGCTTCAAGTATTTTTTTTATGGCTCTTGGACAATGCATTAGAGGTTTTCGAAATGCGATGCGACCTCTAATTCTAGTTGATGGTACAACCCTAAAAGCTAGATATGAAGGAAAGTTGATTATTGCTACTTGTCAAGATGCCAATATCCAAATTTACCCTTTTGCATTTGGCATTGTCGATGAAGAGAATGATCTAGCAATGCGTTGGTTCTTCACGAAGCTGAGAGAAGTAATTGGGAACATCGAGAACCTTGCATTTGTGACTGACCGGGGGCAGTCAATAATAAATGGTATAGCCGAAGTTTTTCTAGAAGCACATCATGGTTATTGCATGTACCACATTCAGGGCAATCTGAAGACTAGGTACCGAGGCAATGGCATTGTTGCATTGTTTAGGAGAGCTGCAGAAGCTTACAGCTTTGAAGAGTTTACAAAGTTCATGGGCGAAATAGAACATAAATCAGAAAGTGCATGGGAATATCTATCAAATATGGGGGTCGAACATTGGGCACGGTCACATTTTCCAGGACGTCGATACAACATGATGACGTCGAATAATGCAGAGTCGCTTAATGCATTATTCAAGAAGGATCGAGAGTTACCGATTCTCGCAATGATTGAATATATTCGTAGCAAGTTGCAATAGTGATTTTATGACCGACGTGAAGAATCCCAAAATTGCACGAGTGTGCTAGCTCCGGCACAGAAAGATCGACTATTCAAAACTTTGGAAATGGCAAGAGCTCTATTTGTGGAACCACTAGATTAATTTTGCTTCTCCGTGAGATGCGGGCATAATGTTGGATACATTGTAGACTTGAATGACAATACCTGCACGTGTAGAAAATTTCAGTTGGAAAGTTTTCCATGTGCACATGCTGTCGCAGTAGCTATGTATAGAGGATTTCCACCACACAGCTTGTGCAGTCATTATTATATGACTGATTTTTAGAGAACAGCGTATGCCGAAACTATATTTCCTCTACCAAATGAAACCGAGTGGGAAGTTCCTGATTATATTGTAGTACTTAATAATTTGTTGCCACCTGAAGCTCCACCGCGTACTCCTGGTCGTAGACGGACATCTAGAATACCATCTACTGGAGAATTTTCACAACCGCGTAAGTGCGGGAGGTGCGGCGCTACAGGACATACACGTCGATTTTGTACAAGTCAGATCCCACTAAACAATGACTCGACGGATGTGTAGTATCTATATAAATCATATGTATTCTCTATTTATCATGTGTTTGTGATTTTCTGAATTTAAATCGGATGTAATCTTTATCACATTGTTTAATTACTCTTTTTAATCTTTATCACATTTGTCATATGTATTTTCTATGTGTCATGTGTTTGTTTGTTTTCTTTTAAAACAAGCGAGACAATGATATATATTAACTAACAATATGGAGATATTACTATTTTTTTAATTAATTATCTTAATTGGTTAAGTAAAAAAATATTGTTCAATTTAATTTATTCGTTAAATATTTCGTTAATTATGTATATTATTTATTTCATATTTAATTACTCTATTTCGATTATTTATTTGAATAAAAATAATAATATTTATTCGATTTTTCGTTTCACTATTTCTTTAATTAATTATCTTAATTGGTTAGGTAAAAAAAATATTATTCATATTAATTTATTCGTTAAATATTTCGTTAATTATGTATATTATTTATTTCATATTTAATTACTCTATTTCGATTGTTTATTTGAATAAAAATAATAATATTTATTCGATTTTTCGTTTTACTATTTCTTTAATTAATTATCTTAATTGGTTAGGTAAAAAAAAATATTATTCAATTTAATTTATTCTTTAAATATTTCGTAAATTATGTGTTTTATTTATTTCATATTTAATTACTCTATTTCGATTATTTATTTGAATAAAAATAATAATATTTATTCGATTTTTCGTTTCACTATTTCTTTAATTAATTATCTTAATTGGTTAGGTAAAAAAAAATATTATTCAATTTAATTTATTCTTTAAATATTTCGTTAATTATGTGTTTTACTTATTTCATATTTAATTACTCTATTTCGATTATTTATTTGAATAAAAATAATAATATTTATTCGATTTTTCGTTTTACTATTTCTTTAATTAATTATCTTAATTGGTTAGGTAAAAAAAATATTATTCAATTTAATTTAATCGTTAAATATTTCGTTAATTATGTATATCATTTATTTCATATTTAATTACTCTATTTTGATTATTTATTTGAATAAAAATAATAATATTTATTCGATTTTTCGTTTCACTATTTCTTTAACTAATTATCTTAATTGGTTAGGTAAAAAAAATATTATTCAATTTAATTTATTCGTTAAATATTTCGTTAATTATGTGTTTTATTTATTTCATATATAATTACTCTATTTCGATTATTTATTTGAATAAAAATAATAATATTTATTGATTTTTCGTTTCACTATTTTTTTAATTAATTATCTTAATTGGTTAGGTAAAAAAATATTATTCAATTTAATTTATTCGTTAAATATTTCGTTAATTATGTATATTATTTATTTCATATTTAATTTATCTATTTCGATTATTTATTTGAATAAAAATAATAATATTTATTCGATTTTTCGTTTTACTATTTCTTTAATTAATTATCTTAATTGGTTAGGTAAAAAAAATATTATTCAATTTAATTTATTATTTAAATATTTCGTTAATTATGTGTTTTATTTATTTCATATTTAATTACTCTATTTCAATTATTTATATGAATAAAAATAATAATATTTATTCGATTTTTCGTTTTACTATTTCTTTAATTAATTATCTTAATTGGTTAGGTAAAAAAAATATTATTCAATTTTATTTATTCTTTAAATATTTCTTTAATTATGTGTTTCATTTATTTCATATTTAATTACTCTATTTCGATTATTTATTTGAATAAAAATAATAATATTTATTCGATTTTTCGTTTCACTATTTCTTTAATTAATTATCTTAATTGGTTAGGTAAAAAAAATATTATTCATATTAATTTATTCGTTAAATATTTCGTTAATTATGTATATTATTTATTTCATATTTAATTACTCTATTTCGATTATTTATTTGAATAAAAATAATAATATTTATTCGATTTTTCGTTTTACTATTTCTTTAATTAATTATCTTAATTGGTTAGGTAAAAAAAATATTATTCAATTTTATTTATTCTTTAAATATTTCGTTAATTATGTGTTTCATTTATTTCATATTTAATT